ATCCTCACGCGGTTGGTTTGCAGGAGGAGTGTGGCTTTCTCAATGTAAAATGCTTTTTCATTTCTTTTAAGACCATTTTCCAGCTCCTGTAGCTCGTATTGTACTGATCTTAGGTACTCTTGGAAGTCCTGTAAAATTTGTGGCGTTCACAGCTGACACACTGGTCCTTATTGATAACCATCTTTTTGTTGAAAGTTATTAAATTATTTCCAAGTCTGCTTCACCTGTGACTTAAGCTTTTCTCCCACTTGCCCACATTAGATGAAGAACTGACTTACTATTGCTATCCGGATTACAGGCCTTGTTCTAATCTTTCCTCTCATACTGCTACTAATGCATGTTCTTAAACTGAGTCACTGATACCCGCCCCCCCCCCCCGTCTTTACTCACTGTGGATCAGTTGCTATTCTGACACAGCACAGTCCTGATGGACCTTATGTGCCTTACCTTAGAAATAGTTTGAGATTTCTTTAGTGGTACATTCTTTTTCTGAAGGGTCTTTGTCCACACAGCAGCAGTGTAAACATTTTCCTGACTCACAGTCAGGAAACCTGACTGGTCAGTAACCTACCACTTAAGCTTTTGCTGTGCTGTTTTGCATTTCAAATAATCTTTGTTAATGAATATTTCTGTTACTGAAGTTTCTTATTTGAACAGATGCCTGAAATAAGGAGAAACTCGATCTCTGTTTTTAGAGAACCATACATGTTTTCTATGACTATTTCAATAACTTTGTTGCAGGACACGCTTCTAGTCTGTGGTTTTGACTAGATGGTGACAGTCTTTATGAAGTGTCCAATTGTGTTTTTGTTATTGCAAGTGTAATTCTTTTTATATTGTTCTGAAGCAATAATTAAGATTTGCCTTCTTCTCTGACTAGGCTTTCTCTCTGTATGAAGATGAAATCAGTGATTCAAAGGCACAGCTGGCTGCAATCACATTGATAATTGGGACGTTTGAGAGGATGAAGTGCTTCAGTGAGGAGAACCATGAGCCACTGAGGACTCAGTGTGCGTTGGCAGCCTCTAAGCTCCTTAAGAAACCAGACCAGTGCCGGGCTGTGAGTACTTGTGCTCATCTGTTCTGGTCTGGCCGAAACACTGACAAGAATGGAGAGGAGGTAAGAATTAAGGGACACAGCGCAGCACATCCTACCTCAGTGATGTAGCTGTGTCTTCCTTCAGAATGCACTAGCTTCTAAAGTGAACACAGTGTGATCAGGCTTGGCTGGACTGTGTTCCAATATATGAAGCTTCTAAATCTTACAGTGTGCATAAATAGAGGATTAAAAAAAACCTCAAGCTTAAAAGTGGAAGTACCATGCAAAATTTTGTGATTGTCAGCTAGTTTAAGGCTGGCTCAGAGTAATCTCCTGCATTTTACACATCTCTATAGTTGTTTGCATACGAATCAATGAACTCTGAAGGTACAAATTGTTGAATTCAAACGTAAGAAGGGGTGCTTTTCCCACATGAGCAACAGCACTTAAGAACATTTGTTTGAAATTTGTTTCACAAGCTACGTGTTAGTGTAGGTATTGTAGTGTAGGTAGTGTACAGATTTAGTTAGATACTTGAAGGCTTTCAACAACTGTTTGTTATTGCCTGATTTACGGAAAGCTTATCCAAACTGTTAAAATCGAGAAACGTACAGTTTTAATGGTAGATTGTTCTGCAGTTTGTGTCATTCTCTACAGTTGTTTTTGTAATGTACCCCTGTGAAATGCTATCTATGTGTTGAGGGAAGAGATGTTGGTTCTCCCTATTCTATTTCTTATATTATTTTATTCTATTTCTTGTAACTTTATTTTTCCTTGTAGCTTCATGGAGGAAAGAGAGTGATGGAGTGCCTGAAGAAGGCTTTAAAAATAGCAAATCAGTGCATGGACCCTTCTCTGCAAGTCCAACTTTTCATAGAAATTCTCAATAGATACATCTATTTTTACGAAAAGGAAAATGAGGCAGTAAGTAAAAATGCATTATTCATTAAATCTGTTTTCTAATACCTGTACTCATTTATACCCTGGATCATGTCTGCTTAGTGTGCTAAACAGTAATACTAAGTGGTCAATTTTTGGTATGCTAGTAAAATACAATGCTCTCCATGTTGTAGAGATAACTTCTTTCATAGGAAAGAAAATCACTTGTAATCTAGTTCTGAATTTAAATTGCGAGACTTGGATACATCTACTTCTATTAGGTCAAAACTGACTGTGATTTAAGACCTTGCTGTATTTTCATTTAACTTCAGAGGTATTTAACTTAATGTGCACTAAGGGAAATAAAATTCTTAGAGCTATTCAAGGTCACTGCTTAGAGTGCTGCCAAAGGTTGGTGTAGACTTTAATCTCACTGGTGTGATGTCTTGCATGCCAGCCTAAGTTTCACCTGACATCTGAGATAACGGTTGCAGCATACTCATTGTTTAGTTAGCATGTAGCTGGTAAACTTCTGAAGTTCCTATGTCACCACTTAGTGAAGAACAGATGTTAATAACTTATCATGTAATTCTGAGAGAACATCCAAGGAGATTTTAGGGATGTGATAACTTCCAGCAGCAGAACCAATTTCCAGCTACTACAGTAGTGTTGGAGCTGTTGGAACTGTGGATTGAGGCAAAACACTGTATTTCAAGGCACTGAGCACATCTGTAAGAATGTGATAGTGGCAGTCTGCAGTGCATTTTGTGCTTTGGTGTTCTGTGTAATGCTGGATTTGTTGCCATAGACAGCTGTACTTTCCTGAGCTGTGACTTGGTTGCTAGGAATAACTTAATCTGATGCTACCATCCTGACTTCTACAGGAGACAGGTTGTCTAGACAGTCTGGTTGTGTGCTTTATTTGTTTAAAGTTATTAACATTTGTAATGAATAAAGTGAAGAGAAATGCTGTGTTAAGTTACAAATCTATAGGTTTCTTCACTTGAGAGGCTGTTCATATTTGCTGGAGTTGGGGGGAGCTTTCACAAAATTCTGAAACCTGAAGTATTGTGCCTGCAATAGGCACAAGGAGGAGCAAGAGAAGGTGCAGAATCCAGCAGTTTGTCTGCATGTTATCAATAATAACTGTAAGAACTGTCCAAATACCAAGGGAAGTCTGTCTGTAGTCTGTTAGAACTAATATTTATGTGTTACACAGAGGTCTTGTCAATTATTTTGTTGCTCATATCTTCTCCTGCAGGTGACAATTCAAGTTTTGAATCAACTCATACAAAAGATAAGAGAAGATCTTCCAAACCTCGAATCTACTGAAGAAACAGAACAAATTAACAAACACTTTCACAACACACTGGAGCACTTGCGTCTGAGGAGGGAATCACCAGAATCTGAGGGGCCAATTTATGAAGGTCTTGTTCTTTAAAGGAGATACGCACTGTACTTATTTCTTTTCATTTACATACCATATGGTTTGTTTTGTTTTTTTTAAAGATAGTTTCATAGATTGTGCCTTTCAGAAATGTCAAGTTAACATTCATGTGCTCAGTCTGGCACTTCAAACACTTGTGTTAAGTACTCTAACGAATTTGAAAGGTTGGACCAGCAACTACAGGTTTCTTCAGTTAGCATGGCTGAATCTTTCTTTGGAATCTATGTGACATGGTAGGGCTCTTCTGTTTTTGACTTCTCTTGTCTGTTTGCTGTTGCTTCTGTGGCACTAGAGTTCTAAACTGGCAGTGACTGTCATCTGAAACTGTGATCCTTGCAGAGCATCAGACTTTTGGGATTATTGTATGTCAGGTTCTGCTTGTGCTTTTCTTTTAATGCAAGTTAAGACTAAGTGTAATGTTTTTCCCTAAAAACTAGAATATATTAATGCATGTTTGGAGAGTTTTAAAATACCATGTTCAAAAACAGAAGCTATATTTTGCATATTAAGGCTCTGTGACATTCAGCGAGAGCCAGTACCGTGCACAGGGAGTATTTATCAAGATAATTTTGTTCCAAATAGTATAAAAATAGAGAAATTGCAATCTATATAGATATGTATAACCTTCATTACTGTAAATTTAGGGGAAAATGCATTACACCAGTTTATTCCGTATCATGATTTTTGCACCAGTGAAACAATAAAATTGCTATTAACACCTGTTGTTTTGTCTGTTCAGAGCCCACTGTTGAACCTAGTACTACCTTCTGATAAAAGCAAAGGGACTTCTGCTTTGAAGGGACAAAAAAACAAAGGCATGGTTAACCTGGACCAACTAAGGAGGGTGCTAGCTGTCCTGATGCAGAAAACTGTCATCCAAAATCAATTTCTGCTGAAAGGTGCCTGTTCACACTTCAGAGTGCTTTTCTGACTTGAATGGTGGAGAAGCCTGCTAGATTCTGGGTCTGTGCTAAAGAGATATGTGGCAATTAAATCATGAAGCTGTAGAAATGTGAGTGGTAGAGCAATTCCCAATGATATGTGAAGACTGATCTAGTTGTAGATTTAATACCATTTCCTAAAAACTTTGTTGAAATCTTGTTTCTTTACCTTAACTGACTGCAGTGTTCTAAAGCTACCGACTGAAATTCCTCACTCCTTGAGTCGGTCACTGCTATTAAAATGGCATAGGCTATATTGGATGAGGTAGTCAAACTTTGCTGGGTTGTTCAATAATTTAGTGTCACTACTTGTTTTTGAAAATGACAAATATAATCCTAGGAAACCTAAGAATTACAGAGAAGATAAGAATTAGGTTGTTGCTCTGCTGGTTTGGAAGTGGAGGAGGAATGGAGGGAACCTCATGGCCTCATTTGCTTTGTGGTGTAAGTAAAAAACTTTTGAATACCATTACTCAGTATCTGCTGATGCTGTCCCTTGTTTAAGAAAAAAGTTAAAGCAGACTCTTTGTTATGAAGCATTCATAGTAAAATGTGATTATTATGTTCATGTAGATGCATTCATATGGTTGGAATATGCCCTCTTATCTTAGAATATTTGTGAAACTATGTTTAATTCTTAAGGTAACATGTACTTGTAACTCAGGAATTACTTCTTAATAATAGTTTTGTGGCTTCAGCTGCAGTTATTCTCATGTTATAAGCTTACTTCCGTATGCTCTTGGTTAAGATGACAGTCGTAACTCTTTCACAGTTGGTAATTACCTTTATTGAAATTTTACAAAATGAACTTCATTAGTGAACTTTCAGATCAGCTGTGCTAAGATGCTTTTTGGCTGTGGCACTGAGTGACTGTGGATGTTCAATAGCTATGAATTGTTCTCAGAATTAAATGTCTGTAAAACTGTAGAAGATGCTAATGAAGGTGGAAACGAATCACCTTTTCCACCCAAGTCAGTGTTCCTTTATTGGTATAGTTGTTCAGCTTTTCTGGTAACCTGACTGTTCTGGTACCTCTTGTTCCAAGCTTTTCCTTGGTACCATTAGTTGGTTAGGGACTGGGGATTTCCTCCCCAAAATGCATATACCTAGCAGCTAAGACCCTGAAGTCCTTACAGAGTGGCTGGGGGCAAAATATAACAAATCCAAACTAACAAATTTCTTACCAGTTTTACTTAAACATTAATAATAAGACACTCCCCAGTTGTTGGATATGAAATTTGTATTCCCTTTTTGTCTCTTCAGTGCTAGTGCATCATCACCAGAAAGTACACTGTAGGCAAATCCTTGAAGAGCTTTGAGAAATTACCATTGTTTTCATTGATTGCTGTTTCTTCAGCTATGCAGATGACTGTATTCTATAAGTTCCTGAATATTCACTCATCAGTGTTCCCTTAAATATTCAGTGCACAGTGCATTTACTATTTACATATGAGTATTGGCCAGTTTGTGTTCCCACTGAAAGCAAGATGTGCTTACTGACAAATTTCACAGGGTTTTTTTTTTTTTTTTTTACATAAAAATATGAGGATGAATTTTAACTTTTCCTGGGCACAGGAGTTTGATAAAGGCTTTCCTGAAGCTCATGTGGCATAGTGGGTACAGAATGGGATTAATGGCTGAATTCACCCACAGAAGCCAAAACGAAGTCTCATAAAGTGAATGTAACACACAGTGCCCATGGCAAGCTGCTCTGATGATCATTAAAAGCGTATAAGGTGCCCAACACAAACCAAACACACTTACAATAATTGCTAAAGACTTTGCTACTCTTTTATCTCGAGTAAGTCTAAATCTGTTTGTCACAGCAGCGTCTGCTCTCGTGGTGGCGCCGCCTGTGTCTTCTGTACTTTTACAGAAACTGTTCCTATGAGACTTGGTCTCTACGTCCACCTGAAGTGGTGTAAGGTCTTGACTGACATTCACATTTAATGACTGACTGTCAAATTTACATAGGCTGAGCCTTGAAGCCTTCTGCAGGGGAGAAAGGCTGCTTGCTTTCTTCTTCTTGTGTTTCTGTCTGTTAGCAGGTTTTACAAAAAATATGGTGTGTTCCCTTTTTTTCCCTTGGAAACTCATCTCACAGTCCTCTTGGCCAGGAGATAAGTTTTCATTTCTAAGGGATATGCGTTTCCTAATATTGAGGTAAATGCTTAAGTTGAAGTATGTAACAGTGATGAAAGGTGTAAAGAATTCAATGGTAGAAGCAATCATTAGGAAATACCAGTTGTAGAAGAACTCTGCATGACATTCTCCTTCTGGAAGGATGCTCTTCTGGGCTACGTACTCCCAGCTGAGAATGGCTGGACCATAGAGAAGAAAAGCAGCAATCCATACAGTGATCATCTTCAGTATTGCATTTCTGGTCTTCCCTTTCTGTGCTCTGTAACTCACCTGAGAAAGGAAGAAGTCATGTATATTAATGGCATCTCAAGTGGTTCCATGGGCACCTTGGAATGTGGACCTCTTATCTTTTGAAGGTTGATGATAACATATATTGGTTTGGGGGTAGGGGTTACAGGCTCACAAAACCACAGAAAAGATGTTTGTTAGAGTGGGTGTTTCAGAAATACTATCATGGTGATGGGTAGGTTCTGAGAATGTGCATCAGACCTTAAAACTAGAAAACAGGGTTTTCTGAAGTAAATTCTCATTGCAGTTTCTAGAATTAGTAGTTACTAGTTGCTTATGTATTCTGTTGCATAAGCTATGACACAAGTTTACAGTTTATCAAAGCTATCAAAGACAGCTCTTTGAAATTCATTGATGTATTCTATATTAAACAGTCTAGAAACTGTAATAAATGAATAGAGCTTGCACGGGTATTCTGTGAATGCAGATCCTCAATGCTTTGTATAGATAGCTTTTTTTTCTTAAGCAGAAGTTGCCCACAAGAAGAAATGGTGAAGAACTTTTGTTTTATACCCTTATTTTCATTTTGTCACAAATTACTTACAGAACTGTTACCTGCAGGTGGGATTGATAAGAGTATTGTGGTCTGCAAAATGCTTCACAGGGTGAGTATTTTTTCTTATTTAGAAAACAGGGAATCTAAGGTGCCACAAGGGTTGTATGGCGTTAAGTCAGTAAACTACATCAGCACTATAGAGTAGAACCTCAAGATTATCTAAGTTTTCATATTCTAATTTGCTGGTGTACCAGACAATATTCATATAATGAATTGGAATTCCATCTTCCCATCTCTACAGTTGTTAATCCCAGGGACCTATGACACTATTTTGGAATACAAAGTCCTCAGCCTTGAAATCTCCTTGAATTCATGCCCGTTGCCCCAGTCTGTGAATTTTGGTCTCCAGGGCTTATGCTGTTTTGGTTAGTATGGCAGTACAGCTGAGGAATTCTGAGTTTGTCTGAATTGGGTCTCATTTTTGCAGTCCTTTTCAAGACTGCTCCTGAAATCATTAGCAACTTCTGTAGGAAGTTTGAAGCTTTCACTGAGAGAATAATTTAGAACTCATTCACGTATTCTCATGTTGCTCTACACCAGTAGGCAGATTCTGTACTCTTTGGGAGGGATTTTTATATGGACGATTTATTTGAAATGTTTCAAAGAGGCTGAACTCTATCATTTATTATAAACAGCTTGGTTCTGAAACCATCCAGTCTATATTTATATTATGTGTATAGTCATGAGTGTGGTTTATAAAAGTAAAATTCATGGCTAATACAGAACTTAGAAAATAAAGGAATGTTGTGTTGACTATTTGAGAATTAATCTGTTTATTTCTCCCTGTTGGAAAAAATAGTTGGTGAAATACTAAGCTACCTATGAACTGTGTTAAGTGCTGTTGTTTCTTCCAACTATTTACTGAAAAGTTATTGTTGCTTCAGTGTGATTTACATTGAACAATGAAGCTAATTCAATGTTTTAATGAAATACAAGTGAAATGGTGCTGAAGAATAGCCACGAACTGCTTGTAGAAGAATGAGACGTAATGCCAGAGATAACGTGTTGTTTGGGCACCATGGAAGGGCTTAGTACCTGGTGCAGAGCTCTGCCTTTACTGGAGGCTGGCAGTAGGTGTGTTGCTGTGTTTGAGGGAATGCTCTGTTGCATTGGGTAATGATTTTCTAAGCTCTTCTAAGGTGTGACTGCAGAAGAAGTGAGAGGCTCTGCTCTTCTAGCTTCAACAGCAGCACGTACAGCCTGTGCCAGTTTCTAAAGCAGCAGAGAAGTGAGAAACAACTCTCCTTTCTCCCAAAGCCAATTGTTCCTAAACCTACTTCCAGAACAGAGCGGGTGTATCGAGGCTGCTCCCATCTCCTGTGTTGTCTGAGGAGCACGAGGATCACCCAAGGAAGCCCTTCCTGCAGCTGCTCTGTTCTGGGCTTCTTTGCTAACCGCGGCTTTTGCCGTTCGTGCCCTGGAGCGCAGCCCTTACCGCCTTGGTGACAGAGATGAACCTGTCGAAGCTGATAAGGACGATGTTGAAGACGGAGGCGGTGCACACCAGGTAGTCCACCACCAGCCACAGCTTGCACAAGCCCCGGCCGAGCCTCCACTCGCCCGTCAGCACGTAGGGGATGTAGAGCGGGATGCAGAAGCCGCCTGTGGACACAGCCGGTGGTGACTCTCGCGGCGCACCGCGCTCCCCCGGCCCTTCGCCGCCCCGGCACTCACCCACCAGGAGGTCGGCGACGGCCAAGTTGAGGAAGAAGAAGTCTCCCTGGGTGCGGAGGCGCCGGTCCACCACGAACGCCAGGATGACCAGGGCGTTGCCCAGCACCGTGACCAGCACCAGCAGCCCCATGAGCGCCGCCAGCACTGCCGCGGCGGCGCCGGAGAAGGGCCCCGCGCGCTGCCTGTCCGCCGCGCAGGCGCCGCCGGCCGCCCGCGAAACGCCGGACCGGTTGAGCCGCGCCGAGCCCTGCCCCATGGCTCGCCCCGCGATGCTGGCCCGCGTCTGCCGCGCGCCCCGCGCTGCTCCCGGCCCCGCCCCGGCGGGCGGAGGGAGGGGCCGGGCGGGAGGCTCGCCCCGAAGGGACGGCGCGCGTGTAGCGAAAGCGGTCCGCCGACGGCCGCTGGGGGCTGCGCGGCGCCGGCCGTCGGAGGACGGCTCGCGCCCTGCCAGGCGCCTACGGGTCCTCCCCGGGGTCCCCGCCGTAACCTTCGCTGAAATCAGCCGCTGGTAAGCTCTTTCGTATGAGCGGCGAAAGGTCTGTGTAAATCTGCCGTTTGAAATAAGTGTTAGGAGCGATCACAACAGCTTTGTGAAGAGAGGACGGTGTGTGCGACGTCAGGGCGAGCAGCGCAGCTCTGTAACGGCTGTCCGTCGTGTGCCTGAGGTGCCGCCCTCGAGCCCCCGGCCGCTGCCTGGGGTGCTGGGGGTGCACCTGCGAGGCCCCGCACATCGCTGCCTGTGCGATGCCTGGCAGCAAAGTGTTTTCACAAAGTGTCCCTGTAGCATCCTCTCCCTAAAGCAAGTAAGGGAAGCTACCACAGTGAAGCAACGAGAAACTGTAGCTTGTTACCACACTGACTGCTCCCTTATTTGGGGATGCTTTTTCACTTTGTTTTGAGCTGAGTTCTCAGTTTGCCATTCACGTGAGTTGGGGTGGCAGCGAGCTTGTGGGTAACTGCTGCTGTCTGGTTGTGTGCTGGTATGAAAAACATAGAGGCAGCCAAGACACACAATGAAGAGAAGTATCTCAATCACCAGGAGAACATGGGAAAGTTAATTTGTTCTTTATTGAATAATCACTCTTGAATGGATATTTTCAGGTGTTTTCTACTGACTTGTGTTGGTTTTCCTTTAAGAACATCAGCTCTTGGGAGAAGAGCTTCCCTTCAAGATGTACGTTGTAGTGGTGTGGATATGTTTAGGAATACTGTGGGGAAAAGCTCGAAACACACACGGGCAAGAGAAGAGAGCTGCAGCTCGTTGCTCCCATTGTCAGAGCAGGCTGTGCTGGAGGGAGGGCACTGATAACCAGGCCTGGCAGGGTGAAGTGAAAGAGCATGAAGAGCTCTGTGTAAAACATTCTTATGTAAGGCTGAGCTGTAGACTTCTGAAGGTAAATTTTGTTCTTGATCTTAAATAGTCTCTTGCTGAGAATCAAATAACTAGAATTGTTAAAGAGGAATGACAATAGCCCAAGATAATAATGAAAAATGTTATATTTCCCAAGGCAATCAATACTGATGTGTTCTGAAACTTAAAACTTTTGTTCCATGATTCCTTCACTGATGATTGTTTTAATTTCCAGATTTCTCTCAGTCCTTAATGAAAAAGGGAGCTGTCTGATTCATGCAATTTCCCATGACTAGTGTATGTGGGTGAGCACATGTACAGAAATGACAGAAAAACAGAATGTTTTTTCCCCCCATCCCAGGCAGATGACTCTTTCAGAACAGGCCAAATTCATCATCCAAATGGATTTGGGAAAGCTGCATTGTGAGGGGGTACACTCCAGCTGGCTGCATATCCTCTTGCTTCAAAGATGATCTCCTCTTTAGTTAATCCCTTCTTCGAAGTACAACTGGGATAGTAAGCATACTTGAACTGCATATTTCCCAGAATCTCAATTTGGAATTACATTGTTGTGTCTTTTACCGAATAACATCTTGTATGTAATAGTTCTTCCTTTGCTTGTTCCTTGTGAAGATATTTAGTTCTAGTCCCAGGACTTCACATACAGGATAATTCTTTCCTGGTGTATATGTGTTGACTGGCATGAAGCTTTAGGCTTTAATTTCCAGTGGTCTGAAGAGCACTTCTCAGTGAAACAGATGCAAGCATACTGTAGCTGGAACCATCGCTTACTTAAAGAAGTTGTTAACTAATTTGCATGTTTCTGAAAAGATATATAATTTCTAATAGCCTTGTTTAAGGTTCTATCAACTGTTCTCTAACTACTTGTTGGTATTTCACAGTTTAAAAAGAAAAAAAAGCCTCCTTGGCCAGAAACAGTGGAATGATTTTTAGACTTGAGAGACTATACAGGTTGCTCTATCAAATGATAAATTCTGCTGTCAAATGGGACTGAGCACAGCTAAATGAACAGGGGAAACAAAAGTCTGTAATGATCATTTCCTATTAAGTTTATACACTCTGCCAGTCAGGTTTTTGTCTGCATGGTGGTTCACTTTGTTCTTTTAATCTTCTCTAGATGTCTTCTTGCATGAGATGCAATAGTTATTTAAAAATAATAATTCCTCTTGTTCCTGCGTGTGTAGAGAAAGCACACCTATTTGATCTGTGCCAGTGTAAAGACATCTCGTTCAGAGTACATGGTGTTAACATCTGCTGATTATGCATTTTCTTCTGTTCAGTAAAGAAACATTCAGTCCAGTTCAGTCCTGTGCATAATGAGTGCTGTGGCTTAGCAAGGTTTGGTGTAGGTATCAGTGCTAACAGCTGGCTCTGAGTAGCCCCACCTGCCTTTAAGACACATAAAGGCATGGTTAGAGCTTAAAATTGAGACAGTACTTCCTTTCTTATGCAAAAGAGGAGTACTGCTACCCACTCAGTCCTTATGAGCAGTGTTGTCATCTCTTCACACGTAATAAACTGGTTTCCATCCAAAACATCTCTCAGTACATTGATGGGCATTGCAAAAATGAGAGAGGGATTGTGTTTTTTCTCTATTCTTAACCGATTCTCTCTTCTTTGTACTGACAGTGACCAGACACATGATCTTACGTCCTTAGCATGCTCAAAGTGCTGTGGTATTTCTATCCAAACTGTTGCTGAGGTCCCAGGATCCCCTTTTCCCCCAATGAATGGCATCCTCCAGAACTGAGCTGGTGCCCATCTGGCTTCTGCATCCCTTGTGGAGACTACATTCCCTTCACCTTGGCCTACAGGGAGGCTTCTTAATAAGAACAGGTGAAATTAAGAGTACGTTCATGTAAGAAAATCCAACACATTTAATGAGGCTAAATCATTACCATGATTCAACACATGGTAAGTGACAAATTAAATTTAAAAAAGAAAATGGTAACAACAACAAAGCTAGAGAGAACAGTTGGAAGAAATTTTCATGATAAGTCAAAGAGACAAACGCTCAGCAGTACTCACAGTTATGTTCCCCCCTCTGGTCTTTCAGTGCTCTCTGTACATAGGCAGTCTTCAGTGCTATGAATCAACCATTCCTGAAAGAGGTGTATGGGAAGTGATCCTCCAGCAGTCACTGAGCTCTTTCACTGACTTCAGTATACTTGGGTCAGCCCCTATTGTGCAATTCTCTGGGCAGCACAAAAGGGCTGATTTTAGCGGTGTGCAAAGGGGAAAACTGCAATAAATGAGTAGGAGGCAGAAGCCCATGTTCTGTTCTTGGCTCTGTCACAAACTCGTACATTGGGCTTCATAGAAAGTCTCTTTTTTGTGCGTTTCCCTATTCTTACAGGGGACAGGGTACTTAAAACTCTTTCAGAAATATTCTAGAAGCAACAGTGTTCAAGATTCACAGCTAGACAGACTGTAAAACAATGGCAGCAGAACAATAGCTCTCACATCCTTCTCTGTTCATAGTTAAACTCCATAGGCAAGGCAGCTCCCACCTGCTGAGTGTTCAGATAGATTCATCTTTGCACATGGTGGTTAAGCATGCTGTTCCCATTAGTGTCAGTGGGAGTTAAATAAGCAATTACAGAACATTAAGAGGAAATGCTAGCCTTTAATCATCCTTTACTTAATAAAAAAAAAAAAAAAAAAAAAAAAGCATCCTGAAACTGAACTAACACATTTCTTTTTAAAGTGGTCACTGACACTCCTCATATGCTTGAAGTTCATCCTTGATTCTGTGCTAGAAAATATCCCTATCCTGGCTAGAGCTCTATATAGCAGTATTAAAACCATTGCTTCTGTGTATTACAGTTAAAAAATTGACCAAATCTAAATGTGCCTTTTTAGCAGTTCTCCAAACTGCACTGTCTCTGTGTTGGGCACAGAGCTGAAAATGTTTTGCCAAATGTGGATGTCATTAAATGTTCTGTTCTGTAGAAAGAGTTTATTTCTTCAAGAGAGCTTCATACTGGACTTAAAGTTTTGTCTCAATAAAAGTAGGGAATTGTTTCCTGTGTTGGAATGTTGTGTTTAAAGAGCGTTATTCTGTGATGAAATAGTTGAGCTTTTCAAGTAAAGGAAGATTTCATTTCAAAACTGTTATAAGTACTGCAAAGAAAAATAGGAAAAAAAAAAAATTATGAACTGTCTCAAGTATGGAACTAAGAAAATGTAAGAAAACAAGTTTTCTGCTGGAAAAAAAGCTTTTGGATTTGATGCAAATCCTTTTATAGTCTTTTTCTGTTATGCATGAATGTTATGCTTATGTTTTGAAATAATCCCGTTGTTTTCCATTTCATACACCATTATTTCTTATGGCTCTACTGGTTATCCCGATCTGCACTTCCACCAAACATGAGTAATTACCTCTCTTAAGAAAAGCCACTGCTCACATAGGACTTGAGGAGTGAACCTTTAATGTTCTTTTGTAAAATATTTGGGTTTCTTGTAGTGCTGCTCAGGGGTTACATGTACATAACCCCTCCTAGCTGAGACCTCGGGATTGGAAATTAGCTCCTGTGTGCTTGGATTCTCCAGCTTTAAGAGAAGAACTTCCAGGCCCCGGGAGGTTGTGGTAAGGGTCAGTAAGGAGACTCTTACACATTTCACATAAGTGATGGTGTGGTGTTGGTGGCTGTACGTGGTGGAGAAAGCTGGGGATGGGACAGCTTGGGGAAGTGCTGCTGGCCAGCATTGTGTTATGTGCATCACCTGGCACTTCAGGAGAACTTGCAAAATTACTGGCTTCCACATTTTTAAGGCTAATAGTTCAGATTATTTTTCAAAGTGGGAATTTTTACTTTCGTACATTGGTTTGTAGTGATGGACTTTTACTGTGTGTTTTTCCTGTGTTGGACAGCTATCAGGAAAGCTTGCCAGGGGGACACCCTGCTTCCCAACTGTCTTATTTTGAAGACAATCTTTTGTTCTTTCGTGAAAAAGCCTGGCTGTATTAATGCAGTGACAGATTCTCATTAGCACACAGTGCACTGCTCTGCTACAAAAGTGGTGTATCTTAAAAAGGCATATCTATAAAAGAGCATGTAAACAATATCCAGGGTTTTCTTTTTGAAAGTTGGATGAGAAATATTTTCCATTTCAGTTGAATTGTGTTTTACATTGTAGACACTGTTACAGAGTGTCAGCGCATACAAAAGGAAGAAATAGAGTGGCTTCAAACACATATAAAAGTATTGCTTCTATTTTTCAAATAAATAAGGACCTGTTTTTGAAGGGTAAGATTTCCAGATACAGGGGGAAAAATTTATTTGGATGTCAGTGGTTCATTCAAAAGAAAAATAATTTTTGTCTTTAAACTACTTAACCGTTATTTTATTTATTATTTTGGCTGTAATTTAAAGTTTATACATCCTGGTTGAAATGCATCTTTTCATTGTTTTGTTTGAATTCAAACATTTCTTCTCAGAAGGAGCGGTGAGGCAGCGGAGCAGCTGCCCAGGGCATGGGGCGTCTCTGTCCCTGCAGGTGTTGAAGAAGAAGTTGGATGCTGCACTGAGTGGCCTGGTTGGGAGCAGGCACTGGCATAGGCTGGTGGTTGGGCGAGGTGACTTTAGTAGTCTTGAAGTTCTTTACAAGGAGAGTGGTTAGGCCCTGGAACGGGCTGCCCAGGGAGGTTGTGGATGCCCCGTCCTTGGATGTGTTCAAGGCCAGGTTGGACGGGGTCCTGGGCAACCTGATCTGAATGTGTGTGTTTGGTGGCCCTGCTAGGCAGGGGGGTTGGAACTACATGATCCTTGAGGTCCCTTCCAACCCGGGTGATTCTGTGATTCTGTCTTTCCAACCTGGATGGTTCTATGATTCCATGATAACCAAAATAAATTCTGATCTTTTTTTGGGGAAAAAAAAAAAGCTTCTTTTTTTGATTCAAGCTGTTGTGTTAATTGATTATGATCCAATGCATAAATTGCTTCTCCCAGAGGATGCATCTTGTATTGCGTTTACTTAGAAACAAAATAAAAAAACAAAAACAAAACAGGGTACCTATCCTGAACAAGCTATGATAGCCACAGAAAATGAAGGCTTTCATTAAAGGAATTTGTTATGAACGTTTTGGAGGAGTTCTGGAGCTGTGTGCACATATGAATCCAGCTGCCTCCAAACATATGTGCCATCCAACCTACAAGAAATAACATTCTTGCCAATTTTATCTAGATGAGTAGATTGCAGTCATTAGGAAAGACTGGGCCACGTATTCTGTTGTTTTAGAAAGCCACCACAGAGGATATTCCAGTATCTGCTGTACTGAGCAGAAAATGTGTTTTCTGTAGGAAATGTTTTTCCTGACAGGGCTTAAACATACCTTTAAAACTTCAAAATATTTTAAGAATTCCACTACAGGAAGAGTTGACTTTATCATTTGAGCATATGTGCAGTTACATGTTGTGTTATAATTTCACATAAGCATATACATTTCAGCAGTATTTAGTGAAATTGTTGTAATTGCACACAAATTGCTAAGGAGATTGAAAGCATGGAAAATGAAGTCAACTACAGAAAAGCATCTAGAAAAGTCTGATGTCACTGTGCTTTAGTTCTGCTTTACCACATCCAAAGCAAACTGGCTGCCTATTGCTGTTCTGTCAGCTGAAGTAGCACACTTCAGATAGCTCCAGCCTTTCAAACTACCATCTGCTAAGACATAATCGTAAGCCCACTGACAAGTGTTTGACAGAAATCACTTCATGCTAATTGATCTCTTTTCCAGCACACTTCATTAGCTAATTTTTAAGACCCAAGAGCCATCGTTACTCTGCTTTCATCGTCAAGATAGGGACGCAGCTGTACTACAGGGAAAAAAGAACTTAAAGCACTTGAAATACAACAAAATCACAGGAGGACAATTTCTAAACAGCCATGTTCAAAATTTGAACTGAAATGAAGCATTGATCACAGCAACATAATGTCCCATCACCAACAGCTGTGTTCTTTTGCATCTTTAGTAAACTTATTTTGTTTTGTTTACAGTGAATGAGGAGGTGCTGTGATCATACAAAACCAACACTGTCAGCAATTTTCATTCTTTTCAAGCTTGCCTTCTTCCTGATGTGATTATGCCCAATGATTTGTTGCATTCTGCATCTGCAGTAATTGTGATTTCATCCTTATCTTAATCACTGCTTCTTTCCTATTTTTTCTAAGATGTGGTCAGCAGCTCTCTGGGTGCAGAAAGTTGAGTGGTCACTGTCAGCAGTGATGCCTGTTCTTATGAATGCCAATGGAAAATGACGGTAATATGGCAAAATACAGCTTTCATAGTGTTGTGTGGTGCAAAATGGCTGATAAGTAATTATTGTAGTATTAGTCATAAGGATGAATCCTCTTGGCAATTTCCATTTTGCCCAAATTCATTATTCCCATCAACATTCAACTTCAGTTTTAACGCTTGTTGGAAAATCTGTCTGCCTGCTGTCCACGTCTGAAGAAAGAAAATGGTTTATTATGGGTTTTGTCCCTGTTGCATCTTTGCAGTCAGTTGAAGAACACCTTGCAGCGCTCAGTCTACCGAGTTCTTCGGGACAGCGCTGCAACATCTGCAAAAGGGACTTAGCTCTTTTCTGGCCTTCCTTCAGGGAGCAAAGTGTCTGTCTGGAGAGATGGCCTGTCCAGTGCTGAGGGAGCATGGCTGATGGCACTTCCATTGTAGATGAGTCTTAGTTAAGTAATCTGCATGGGCTTGAATTTTGTGTTATTATGAAGCTTATTTCTGAAAGTCATTATCTAGAGTGAATTCCCTCATTCTGAAAATGAGGCACTTGGCAATGTCAGGCAGGTTTGTGGTTAAAAGAAAGTCAACACGCAGCAGATAAAGTAGTGTAAATCTTGAAACTCTTCCGGTGAATTGCAAGAAAAGAGGTGTCTATAAACACAAAAAATCCAAATCTGTAATGCTATTACTATGGTTTTAAGAAATAAGGTGTTGGACCAGTTTTAAGTCCATGAAGTACATTTCTGAAGAAGCCAGAGTTGAGGAGGTTCTGAAAACCGCTTAAATTATAGTAGAAAAAGCTCTTCAGAAGCATCCTCTGCTAATAAAGTCAAGCAGTAATAGAAGCAAATGATTTCAAACTGATTTTTCTGATTTTCAAAGATATATTGGTTGCAGTGATACAGCTCCATCTTTGATAGGTGTAGACATTTGGACGAAGAGAGCTCGCATGTGAAGCTCCAAAGTAGTTCTTTAAAAGAACCCATGAATTGGATTTGAGTTTCTGAGGGGATGAAGCAATGAAGCTATAGAGGTTTGCAAAAGTTCAATTGCTTTTCTGGTTGTATTTGATTTATTTAGGCTTACAATGATAAAATACCTGTCAAAGAACATACTTTATAGCTAATAACCCAAATAATTAACAGCAGTCTGCAGTTACATGGCACAGTTCATCCCCAGATACAAAAGTTGTTTACAAATGAGTTAATCAAGCACATGCAGTAAAAAAAATATTGTCTAAGTTTTATGATGGAGAAATGGAAGCCTAACGAGATTAAATTATTGCCATGGTAACAAAAGGAATTTGTGTCAAGAACAGAAATGTATGCAGACTTTTTACTGCCTTATGTACCATTCTTTTTAGACTTTTTTTGTGTCTTTTTATTATTTCTTTCCCATCACTGTGAATCTGTGCTGATTCTGAACCACTTATCCCACACATATCTGATAGACATTTTCAGACTGACAAGCCTTATAAAAAGCTTTTTTTTCATTACATGTAATAATATAATTTGATCTTTTGATACTTGTATTTTAAGGTTGCTTCATAATGAGAGGTAAAGAAAATATTGCTTTAAGAAACCTTAAAGTAGAAACAGTCTGTGCTTTCAAATGAAATCTGCATATATCCACAAATGAGAACTTCTGTCGAGGGGTTTCTCATCCAGCAGTGAGTTAAAATAGAGATGATGTTTCTTTGGATAGGAGCACTGGATAAAACACTGCTATTTTTCTTTAGGTTTTTAACTTCGGAAATGAATTTCCAGGTGGCATGAACAGACACTGCTCCAGTGAGGTCAGTGGCGCACAACGAAGTTCTGGTCCAAACTATCCAGGTGAGTTTGTATCCTACATCAATTTCTCTGGACAGATGCTTTTTCTTCATAACCTCACAGTTAAAATTAAGGGCCGCCCTGACCTGAGGAACTGCCTGCTCTTATCTGCAATAACTGGCAGCCATCAAGCTCACACTTTGGAGATCTGAAGCAACAGCTCAGCAGAATTTCCCCCAGCAATTTATTTCCCACTGCACAGCAGCCCTGCTCTGCAGGGGTGACAGTCTGACTTGCATATGCAGTCTTCAGCAGCCCTCAGCCGTGCAGCTTCTTTGAGCCAGGGCTGTGTGTTACAGCAGGCTTTGAGAAAGGCGTTTGGTTGATGTTTAAGCCACCTGCATAGGGACTGCTGTGATGTGGCTGCCTGTGAGGTGCATGCTATCTTGATCCCCAGCCTGGATGAATTGCACACGTGGGATTTGTTTCACCATGGTGTTCCTTCCATTAAAAATCAGTGAAATATCAAAAGAGAACAAATTAATACTTTTTAATGCTAACATTACATTTTACATAACAATACATTTTTAATGCTAAGCAGGTTAATCATGTTTGAGATCTAAGGCAGCCCTCTCGTGGCTGTTTCTGTTTTAAAGCAATTGTGGCATTAAAAAACAAACAAACAAACATACAAAAGACAACAAAAAAACCCAACAGCAATTTGAATAACCATTGTTTGGAGGAAAAATGGTGGCATGTCCAGGAGCAGCTCTGCAGAACACCATTCTACATGCCTGGCTCCAGCACTGACAAAGCATGCTGTATGAACATAACCTGTTCTGTCCCAAATCTGCGACATTGATCTTTTCCTTCTGAACTGCTTCCCACAGAGCTCTGCACATTCTTGCGGGAGCATCCTAACCTTTCTTGTCTATTGTTAGTTGCTGCCTGTCCTCAGCTCCTGTAGTGATGTCCAGTCGCCTCATCTCTGCTAAATACCCAGTCTGTAAAATACAAACATCTTCCAACTGCTTAGCTTAACCTTACTTACTTTGTTTGGAATTTAAACTTTACTGGACCTGTGGCAACTTTACTTTCAGATTATCTGAATAGCCACAGTAGAATCTACTCCAAAAGGACACAATCTGCTTCTAGCAGACACAACAGTGAGCAGGACCAAGGTTTCAGCACGGAACGAGCCGTGTTGCTGCTGAGCATGAGGCTGCTGGGCAGTCTCATTTGCCACTGTTTGAGGGTGAATTTGTTCATGCAGACAGGATAACAAAATTATCTCTTTTATCAAAGAAGGTGCGTGTTCAAAGTTGTACCAAATAGGGAATGGCACAACCTAAACCTGGTGTACTTCCTGCCACGGATACTTTGGGATCTGTTTAAGTTACCCTCCAGGCTGTGTAATATTTTGCTGGTAGGTCTGCCAGTGACATGAGAACTGGCTTACTGAGCACGTTCTGCCTGCTCTTTCCCCGCCAAGGAGCCATGTTTAATTGGCAGAAATTTGCGTTTGTGACTCCAGCACAGCTCTGCACCCGGTTCCTCAGCCCAGGTTCCTCCCAGTGAGGCCAGACCGCCGGCCCGCCCCGCAGCGCAACGGCCCGCCCGCCGTCCGGCAGCCAATGGGGGCGGGCGCTGCCCGTGACGGCGGCGCGGTGAATTTGAAATTTGTGCGGGCTGAAGCGGAGCGGAGTGGCGGTATGGCTGGAACGGGACTGCCGGGCGGGAGCGTCGCTGGGCTGCTGGGGGGAGCCGAGGAGGCGAAGCCAGGTGAGGTTCGTGCGCCCTGGGGCGCGGGGGCTGCGGCTGCCGCTGCGGCGCGTGCGTTCGCGCAACCGTTTGCGCGAGGCGTTGCTGCCGCGGCTGCGGAATTCGGGCTCTGAGGAATAAATTTGCGTGCGTGGTGCAGGCATGGCCTGCCGGGATCTTTGGTAGCACTTCTGAAGGAGTACTTGAAGGTTAAAATCGCCTTATAATTTTCAGCGTATGAATTTCAGCGTTTTTGTGGTGCATTGTGAGATTTGTTAAGGAAAGCAGGCGTGTGACTGATCTCGGGCCGAGCAGGGGTTGTTTGGGAATAGAAGAGCGAGCGATGATTGCATGGACCTGACGGCCTGTGGGGTTTGCTTTGTTCCCACTGCTCCCCCAGCTCCCACCCAGCAGGACGAGGACACCTGCAGCGATTATGGAAGCCGCGACAAGCCGGGCACTGCCCTGGGGAGGACTGTACCGGATGGGGGCGCGCTTTTTCCTGATATTTTTCGCACGGATCATCTTTTGTTTTATGAGCGATTTAAAGCTTACCAGGATTACATTTTGGGTAAGTGATTTTAGTAGGGAAAGAATATGTGGCAAGGTTTCTAAGTGGAGTCAGTTCCGCCTGAAACGCGCACTCTTGATAGCGAGGACTGGAACACAGATGGGGTGTGTGTGCCGTCAGTGCTGGGCTGTCTGCTGTCACCTCAGCTGATGGGCCCAGGAAGTAATGGCTTTAACATGAGTAAATGTGAAGGTCTGAAAGGAAAAGCGCTAATGCTGGGCCCTGTGCTTGGTTTTATTGGTGTTATTAGAACTTTTCTGCGTGTGGTGAGACTCCTTGAGATAAAGCACAGACTCAGCAGCACTGCTGCTGAAACCTTCTGTGCTTTTCATTTTTCACTGAGGACTTTTCATTATTTTCTTACATAAATGCACTGCCTTCCTTTTCATTTTAGCTGACTGCAAAGCTTCTGAGGTGAAGGAATTCACGGCTGAGTACCTGGAGAAGGTCCTTGAGCCGTCGGGATGGCAGGCTGTTTGGCGCACTAATGTGTTTGAGGTCCTCGTGGAGGTAAATGGAATGTGGTTGTTCAGGCATTGGTCTCTCACTAACGTCATTTATCTCTCTGACAGGTAGATCACTTTCTATGAGATTTATGAACTGCTAGAAAATAGTATGGTTTTTTGTATGTAATTGCCAATGAGGACTAAAGCAATAGGAATTTGTTTCAGAAACGTCCTTATTCTTGAACACCATTTTTGTACACTGCTGTGCTATCTATACCTAAAAGCCTGAGGTTGGAACCTGTAATCTGAATACTTGTATCGGGGACTGTTATGGCAGTGAGGCACTGCTGCTCAGAATGAGCTCTTCAGGGCTGCAGCAAGTCACAACTCCAGAAAATTATGCACTAGGTAGGCTTCCTATTTTTTTTTTTTTCTTTATCCCATAGTTCAACCTTGGAATTTAGCTGTCTATTACTTAAAGCTTACTTCTGCTTTTAAAATACAGCATTTTCAGTGGGACAGTTGGATTGTTTTCGAGACACAATTGTGGATAAACTGGTGTTGGTATCTTGAGAATAAGCTGCATCTAGTTCCATAAAGTTGATGTGGTCAGCGTGTCATCTGTGGTTTTGAGTAGAGCACGGTCGCTATTTGCAAGATAAATTTATCGGTGCTAAACCAAAATATTTGTACAATCTTTGTTTGCTGTGTGCTAGAGCACTGCATAATCACTTAACTTTTCTTGAGCTTCTCAAGAACTGGGCAAATAATTTTGAACCTCAGAGTGGCAATATAAAGCCTGAATGATGTCCCTGTGTGTAGCAAAAATACACCATATGGGTTAGTTTCATAGATCCTCTCTAGTGTCTGAATATTTCTTGGGAGGACTGTGCTTAAAAGGAAGCAACGTTCTCAAAGGGATCCTTGAAACAAGGAGGAGGAGTCCAAGTTGGTATGGGTGCACTGTGAGGTTAAGCCTGGTGGGCGCAGGAGGGAGAAGTGCTTTGTCCAGAGCTGGCTGCTGGGGTAGTTTTCTCAGTCACCAGACTGTGGTCACTTCTAAGTTCTTCCTATCATTAACATTCTTCTGTCTAATCTACTTTGATACTAACAATAGCTCTTGTAGACCTGCTGGAGGATTGCAGGTTTGGGATCCTTTTTTTTTAGGTCTACCAGTATCTGAGTCTTTCATATTTGTGCAAACCTGCGATGTTTGATCACGCTTGAACTTGTATTACATGTTTTCAAAAGGGAGGAACTTCATCTTTTGATGTTTTCAGCAAAATTAGTGATAAAATAGTTTGCTGATGAACTCATGGGATGGTTTATATCTTGTGGATGCTTTGAAGAATGAACCATAGAAGAGTCTAGAAAAACTGTGAGGCATGGATTTGTTTGAATCTGAAGATCCTATTTTTTGTGTTCTAAAACCAATTTGAGAAGCCATTTACTGGCCTTGGATAGGTGTTATGAGGTTGTTTTTTTTTTTTTTTTGAACCTAGTTTTGAATGTCAAAGAGATTACTCCAGATCTTTTGATTTTTAGGAGTTTATTTCTGGGATTATCGTTTCGTCTGACCAGATTGCCTTTGCTGTAATACGTATTGTGTGTTGATCTGTGTGGGTCAGCTGGCACTTAGTGAGGTCTGCTGGGTTGTGCACATCGTGTGCACCTTCCTCAGCTGTTTCTGTGGTTCTGCGTAGAGAAATTCTAAGAGCTATTCATTCCAACAGGTGGTTGATGTGGAGTACTCAGATCTGAAGGCAGTTGTGCAGCTCTGTGAGCCTTTCCTGTGCGAGTCACAGGTTAGCACCTTTACGTTGGAATGCATGCAGGAACTCTTGGAGCTGAAGGAGCGTCGGATACCGCTGCAGGAGCTGTGGGTTGTGTATGATGAGTCGGGAGAGTTTGATCAGACAGCACTAGCTGTGGAGCATGTCAGGTAGGAAACTGCTTTAAGGCTAATTCTTGTCTTGAGCAATTGCACTCTGGTTGTGTGCTGTCCTGAGTTCTTGTGGCTAGACTGGCATCCCCACGTGTCTAGCTTTCCACATTCAATATTATGACTGGTACCATGAAAGCTATGGGGAGTCTGATTACAGAGGAAATGTGTTTGCCTTTGGTAGCTGAAGGCAGTCACACAAAAATGGGATGTATTTATCTGAGAAGAGACTCATTCTGCTGGCCATTGCTCAGTAGCAGAGACCTGAGCGTGTATCACAGAGGTGGCAAACTTCTTGTGGAGAGGAAAAGCTTAGTGGAAAGATGCCTGGCCAAAACTGAATAATCAGAGAGCCACAGAATCTTGTGTAAGTTTTCTTTTTAAATCCAGACTGTACTAGCTCAGTCTCTTGATGGAAGTCAGAAGGACTGGGGCTGTTATGGATTTTAATCCAAGAAATACAAATTAAAACTCTTCATATAAAAAACCAACTGTTGTGTCTTCTAAATGGCTTACAGGAGGGTGATGTGGAATTGGAGAAAGAATGTTTTCATTTGCATTCTGTAACCTATTACGTCTGTATTTTTAGTGCCACTGTCTCTGCTTGTTTAAATGTGGCCTCTTTTGTGTTTAAAAGCTTACTTTGCTTCAAAAGGTTCTTCTACGAGTGCATCTGGAGGACCTGGGATGAGGAGGAGGAGGATGATTTTGATTACTTTGTGCGATGTGTGGAGCCTCGACTGAGACTGTAAGTATAACACTTGTGTTAATGGGTGGGACCACAGGAAAGGGTGCTGTGGGAATAGTGGCATGCATAAATCTCCAAGGAATGTTTTCACTAGTGAATTAAAGCAAGCCTGTTCTAGTAGCAGCCACTGTCTGTTGCTCTATTTTGTTACAGAAGAGGGTACAACTGAAGTTGCTGCTTTATTTCTGAACCCTTGTGTTTTCCTGTAATCCCTAACCTCCCATCAGATGGCGCTCCAAATCCAGCTATTGCCTCCTTGGACTTGCAGGAGTGACTAATGTAACGCTATCTAAAGCAGGCATGAAATGCTGTCATACCTTTATGATCAAAGATCAGGTTTCATGCATTTTTATAGTGACCAGCCCTAAAATGAAGCATGCACTTCAGGACCAACCTACATTTAACTCTTAGTTTCCATCTAATATTTTATTTCTACATTGCTGTAAATCCTTTTTTACATTTAATTGTGCTGCATTAACTTTCTGCTGCGTCTGATTGCATTGCCAAAATCTTGTGAGTCTTTTTCTTTATATCCTTTTTATTGTAACTGCATACTTATTTACTTCTCTGATTATAGTTTTTTTTCTTGCTCTTTTCTGAATTAAATGCACCACTTAAAAATAATCTTTTGAACTTTGAAGATTTGCCCTTATTTCATTCAGTCTCTTCAGCAGAGTTATTTATGCTGTGTTAAGTTGGTTCTTTACAAAAATGAAAATGTTAAGTCTTGTTTTGTTTCATGTTATAAATTATTGTCCAGCATTTCTTTTTCTTTTTTAGTGACTGTGATAAGTTCTAAATGACTGCCTGGCACTGTCTACTTGGCAGATATCTTAATCTTAATGCAACTTCAGCCTGGCATTTTCTACCCTGTAATTTCATTTGTAGAAGATATTTCTGGGGTGACACAAAGTTTCCTGTGCAGTGCTTTCACATCTTCATCTCGTGCAGATACTGCCTTATTTGTTTCTGGGATTTTGTCCAGGTTATTGTTTAGGTTGCTGCTGATACAGACTTCACATTATGGGCTTATTCTTGTAGTTCAGACATAGCTTTCTCAGGCTTTCCAATAAATGCTTGAGAAGTAGGCTAATTTTGATTTCTAATGGATTTAGGAGGTGCTTTTTTTTTTTTTTTTTTTTTTTTTTTTTTTTTGGTAACTGTACCATTTCTTTTAGAATATGTTTCATATAATTGTTACCTATCTGCCATGAGAGATCATTTAGAGAAGTAAGTAAAATATTTGTATGTTCTGAGGGTTTTGGTTTGATGCAGACTGCAAAGAATTTTAACTTCAGTACTAATACAGGACGTCTCAGATTCTCTCTGGGTTTGTATTTGATCTTTCAAAATTGGAAATGAAAGTATGCTGATCTCTGGCTCTGAATTGCAGGCATTATGACATCCTTGAGCACCGTGTGCCTTCTGGTCTTGTTGCTGATTACCACAACTACTTGTCTCAATGTGAAGAGCTCTACAGGAAGTTTTTAAATGTGAGGAACAACATATCAAGCAGTGATTCAGACTCTGAAATGGAAAATGTCTCCATGGTGGAGGGATTAAAGTTGTATGAGAAAATAGAGCACTTGAAACAAAAACTAAAACTAATTGAGAATCCTCTGCTGAGGTACTTAGCGGGTTTAATGGAAGGGGAGCCCTGATGGGGAAACCATATGTAGAGTGTTCTTCACTGAAGGCTTTGTTCCTTGTTCTAGGTATGTATTTGGTTACCAAAAATACAGTGGTCTCCAAGCTAAAGGTCAGAGACCAACAGGTATCAAGATCACTCATGTTGTGTCCGCAACTGTGATGGCGAGTCTCTTGCAGTCTTTGATAAGGGACAGACTTTGCCCTGAGTCTTGTGGTGAAGAACTAGAAATACAGGTAAAGTAACAGCAATTGCCTGCTCACCCATGATTTTGTCTACTCAAGAAACAATACAAAAGAATCGTGTACATGAAAGACGATACACTTGTACAGTACCATTTTTGAGTCTGAAAACAGCACTGTAATTTAATAAGACAAAGTTGCCAAGTAATTTCTCTTAATTTGTTTGCTGAGTAATCTGTGTGAGCAGTTTCCTTCCCATGTGTAAGAGATAAACCTGTAATAAATGTGCAAAGGAGTAATACTCTAATGTTAGATAGCTCTGTATTTTGAGTTGCTGATAACAATTTAAGGTTTCAAGAAGGAAATGCCATTCTATTGCTATGGTTCTGCATAGGAAACTTGCTTAGGAAACTTATTTAGAGCAATTAGTTTTAGTGACTTCAGCTAGGATTTTCAGCACTTCAGCTTAGTCTGTCATACAGAATAGTCTGTAGTCCTTGGGCCCAAATGAAATTGCTTACTGTATTCTAATCATGTTCATGAATTGCAGGTGGGCAAAGCAGACCCGAACAGAGCATTCCCTATTAACTCTGGGGATATAAATCAGATTTTCTCAGTTGGCAGTTGAGTAATTTTTACATTGCTTGCCCTAGAATTTGCCAGGACGCAATAAACTCCAAGTTTTTTGTACTATTTGTTTCCTGTTATGCGGAATTGCTCGGAGGATATCAGCCTGCACTTTTCAGGTACCGAGGTCTTTTTTTAGGGAAAAGAACCATGTGGACATATTATTTGCCACTGTGATGTCTGAACTCTGTTCTGGAGTGACTTGCTTAGAAATAGGGTTCTGCATGTTTGGACCGACTCAAATCTTATTGCTGAGTTCTTTGTTTTTATTGACTTTCCCGTCTGCTATGTGCTGCTTCATGTAATTCATGGCAAGTCTCTTGAAACAGAATTCACGTGTTGGCCTGAAACCCAGGCCATACTGAAACCTGCTTTCCAGTGCATATGCTCTTCAGTCTGCCACTGCCCCAGATTTCTCATGGAATGGACGTAACACAAAGGAATGCTTTAAGGCTGTTTTTGTCTAGAGTGCTATGATTGTGGAATTCCAAGTAGAAACGGCCTGTTAGTGGTGCCATTATAAAGGATTTCTTTCAGGCAAAGGCAGCAACGTTTAATTAAAGAACAAATTTAAGGGCATAAATATGTCTATTTTATAGCGTTTTTTCAGGAGTTGATTATGTTGTTTGTCTCTTACAGTTCCACAATGATCCGCTGGCAGCTGTAAATGCTTGTTATGAAGGAGACACAGTCATCATCTGTCCTGGTCATTATGTTGTGGATGGCGTGTTCTGCATTGCTGATTCTATTGAAGTGGAAGGTAGAAAGCTTGCTAAGGAGAGAGTCCAGGGTCCTAAACTAGCTATGCACAAAGATATATTTTTTTTTAAATTTGGAGAAGCTTGACTTGGGTATTTGCTTTTTACTTTGGAGTGTTCCTGTTTCTGCTTGTAGGGCTGTCTGTGGTGTATGGTGTTCTATTAACAACAGTTATTCCTGCAAATAAGCTTAAAGTTTTGCTGATGAATAGTGAATTTGCTGTTTTCTTCTGTTTGACTGAATTATATAGGTACTACATCTAGTACTGTTACCTATGGAACTAGATGTTGTACCTATAGCTGTATCCAGCAGAAACACAATTGTATATTTTTACATCTGACAAGCACAGATCATTCTGAGAAGCTTCATTTTGAGTACTTAGTGGAGGTTCTTGTTCTCCTTTGCATTCTTACAGACCTAATGTACTTCATAGAGGTGGTCTGAGACTCACTGCCAGATAGCACTCATGAATACAGAGGGGAAAAAGCCAAGTTCTGTCAACTCAGTTTATGGTATTTGTTGTGCCAGCTGTGCGTATGGGCTGCTGATGTAAATCTGTGCATTATGTGATGTACCTGGATAGAAAGAGCTATTGATTTAGTCTCTGTTCTGTAGAAGTGGACACACCATATGTGATTCTATTTTTCTCTCCAAGTATTTGTTTCAAATACTCCTGCATTGTCTAGGTTATGTTACTGTCTTTTCCTCATAATTCTTAGTTTCCCAGTGTAATTTCTCTGCTTCAGGCTTGCATGCTGCTGTAACATAATAGTCTGTGTATCACCGGGGCTTGTGCAGCTGTTCATGTTCTTCTTTGGCTGTAGTTTTATCTTGTCAAAACTTCATTATGGGAAAGGCTGGGAATTTAATTTCCTGCTGCTTTGCCCTTCTCTTACGAATATCACTTTCTCTTTTGCTCTTCTCTTGTATGATTTATATAGAGTTGTGTGCTGGTGGACAGTGCTGGTTAAAGGACTTCAAACTGCTTGATTTGCTTGCAAAAATTGATTTGTTCTAAAATTGTGTGGACTGGAGTTTATGACAACTCCTCTCATACTTTTGAGGAAACAGTAATGCAAATGGTGAAATAGCACTCCCATTAAAGAATGAGGTATGCTATATTAAGAAGCAAGGCATGTAAATGTGTCTTTAGTACAAACTGCACTCTGAATAATGAATATGTCAGGGTACTTAATCTTCTTATATGGACTTCTGTTAAAGAAGTTTTATAGCAGTAATAGCAGCTGAAAACATTTGAAGTAGGAGCATCAAGAAAGAAGTTGCTGGCACTAATCTGAGTGGCTGGATAGAGCTGCAATGAAGTTGTGACTCATCAAAGATATGATATTGCTTTGCTTAGTAGTGGTGGTATTTTTTTCCATGCATGTGCAAACCAGTGCTGTGGTTGAAAGTATGAGGAAAAGAAATACTTCAGAGGACTGGGGAAGGTTAAAGCTGTAACACAGGAAATTATAGTGAGGACAACTTAATCACTTGGTGAAGGTATGCAGCAACGGTACCAAATAACTTTGCAGCTTGTACAATAGTTGAAGTTGGAAGAGAAGCTGAACATCGATCCTAATACCTGTGATCAGAGTTATGAGATGACAGTTGCTGTTAGCTCCTGTAAAGTTGCTTAACAGGGTGTACAACCTTGAGTTAGCTATGTATTGAACAGTGCTTGATGGCAGGTGAATCAATTTCTCTCTATTCCTTATCTTTTAAACAGCTTCTTTACTGCTAGAGCTGCTGCTTTGTAGGTGAGGCAGGCGAAAAGCTTGGTTAGAAGATCTTTGGGTAGTTTGGACAATTTTTCTTAAAACTCTTGCCATGAATGATAAACAACCTCATTCTTTGGGGTGTATAGCTAAACAGGATCTGCCTCTTGAAGTCCCAGGGTGCACTTTCTTTCCATACTGAAGTAAACTGCCCCTTGCTACCTCCTCTCCAGGAACCCTAGAAAAAGATTACTAGCTATTGTAGTGTGCTGAAGTATCACCAAACTGCCTTCAGTTGCTGTCTCTAAAACTTTCTCTCAGCTCTTGTTCAAAAGCTTTTTTTCAACCTTTCTACTTGCACATTATTTATTTATGTACTTGGTTAAAAGCTAGCATCCTGTATGGGCACTTCTTATCTAAGCTTTTTTGCGTGTTCAGAAAATGATAGGACTCATACTGCTTTAATAGATGTTGCATTATTGCTTTCCTTATCATGATTCTTGCCAGTGACAAGCAATAGAAGCTTTACATGCTCATAAATTTCCCTTTGAGTGTTTGAATGCTGACAAGTGTAGATGGCTTTAGTAAATCAGTGGTGGCATATGCTTTTGAAAGTTCCTTTTTAATCTGGAAGTCCATATAACACATAACACAGGAACGTGTTTTGACCCAGGTTTCATTCAAACAGTAAAGCTGAGTGAAACTTGGGACTATAGCATGAATTCCTTTTGTTTCCTTGCACTGTGGTAGTGACTGCTTCCTCAGAGCCCCAGCTTGCTCTGCTGTGCTCATCCGTTTTGAAAGCCAACTGCAGGTTCTCATGTGGCCTTTGTTACTGTACCTCCCTCCAGAGTATTGCAGCCTTGGGGAGTGAGGACTTGGATCTCAGTGAATGTGACCTCTGTTACACATCTGTTCAACTGGCAAAAAATAATTTGGCATTTGATGTCATTCAAAGAGGGTGATTTGGAATTCTGGGTGATTTAATTCATTGGACTGTAGTGCAGAAGGGTGTAATTTGAGGCTTGGCCAATGGGTAGAAAACTATTTGAGATTATCGAACCTCAAGTTCTAAGTCCTCTTATGTGATGTGAATATCTGCCTGTGATTGTTACCAGTTGCTCATCAAACTTTCACCCCTGCTTTAAGGCTATGGCCTGCCAGATGACATTGTGATAGAAAAGCAAGGGAAAGGAGACAACTTCGTGGACTGTACAGGAGCCAATATAAGGATCTCCAATTTGAAGTTGGTGCAACATGATGCTGTGGAAGGGATTTTAAGTAAGTATAAAAGCACTTTAATGTTCTTATGAGTCTTCTGTGACTTTCTTTTCATTTTTTTAAACGAATCCAGTACACAGAGCTTACTGGTTTCAACTTTCAAGCTGTTGTAGCACTCAGGCTTAACTTTTGGGTAAGATAACCTTGGATGAGATAACTTGACTTCTCTGCTCTTGGGTTTTGTAGCAGTAGGTCAGGTTTCAGTGTGTCAGGCTGCGTGGAAAAGGAAATAATTTCTCATGCGACAAAGAACTCCCAACACTTGACAGCTCTTTGCTAAGGGTTGATATGGACTTCAGAAGTAGCACAGACCTTTGTTTTCTGACTTAACTTAAACTGAAACTCAGATAATCCCAAACTGTATCCATTGAGTTTGGCCATGGCTGTTTCTCTTTGTAGAAGGTATTAATTAATACTTAGCCTTGGCAAGCATTTGTTTTAAAGCATGTTTTCTTAACACCTGTATATATGTATCTAATAACTTATTAATACAAAAGACTTTTAAGAAGGTTAAAAAAAAAAAACAAAAAAAAAACAAAAACCCCAAACAAAACTGCTGGCACTAGAAAAACAGTGGCTAACCAAACAAAAAACAACTTCAAGGCAAATCTTTTGATTAGTGCTCATTTTTAGTGTACCTGCTTATCCTGACAAAATACCATGAGCTCAAACTATGCCTGAGCAAATCAGTAAAACTTGCATAAGATGTTATGTAAATGGTCATTTTGACATACTGTAAAAAATATTGTGAATCTATCTACCTGTAGGTTTGCTTTTGCAGGTATGATTCATTTAACAGTGTTTGTTGTGTGTGTGTGTGTATGTAGATGTTCATCAAGGGAAAACAACTTTAGAGAATTGTGTATTACAGTGTGAAACTACAGGCATAACTGTACGAACTTCAGCTGAACTATTAATGAAGAACTCAGATCTGTATGGTGCCAAGGTAGGAAATAGCCAGTTAAAAATTTGTTTATAAATTTAAATAGAGTTGCACTAGGCAGTGATACTCTCAGTGAAGGGGTGGTTTCTTTCCCTCTTGTGAGAATCTTTGCAGGTTATCTTGAACATCTGTGTGTTACATTAAGAGATTGTTCCCAGGGATCTTAGGGTCTTCAGTAGTACCCAATGAAGTATCTCACACAGGGGCTATCTATGAAACAGTGATTACTGCATTGTTGAACTGATTCATGTCCTGCTGTATCTTTAAGGTGATTTTCTGTGTTGTTTTTTTTCCCCCTGCCTATAAATAACTCATTAATCCTAGTTTGGCAAATTAAGTGACCTTCTTGATGCCTTATTCTTCTGACAGATATGATATGATATCCTTCTGACAGAATTGAACTCCGATTAGCACACTTGGGAGGATGATAGGGCTTTGAATGTTGAGGTGGATGTCTAAAGAGCCAGAAAGCGATAAAAGGATGCATAGTCATTCTTTGCTAGTAATTTTATAGACTAGCAACAGTAGCATTACTTGTGGGACTTCCATGTTTGATATTGCTGTTCAAGTTAACAGAGCTGTGAAGCTTCACAGCTGGAGTGGTGCAGATAAATGAATGAGCACCAAGATCAACCATGGAGATGTCGTGCCAAATTGTCAGCATTCCTGAACTATTTGTGAACTGCAGTGGGTTTTGTCTCGTAGGGTGCTGGTGTGGAAATATACCCTGGTAGTACGTGCACCTTGTTGGACAACGGCATACACCACTGCAAGGAGGGAATACTCATAAAGGTCAGTTGAAGGCAGAATGCACTTTTTTCTTCAACTTCATAGCACACAAACTTATAGCTGTCAGAATTGGTGCAGATAACTTGTGTTTAGCTTGACTTATAACCATGCTTTCTTATAGTGGAACTCTTGTGTATTACAACTTATGGTGGTACTTGTTTGCCTTGGGTTGGTACAATGAAGCAATGTTTTGTTTCTTGTTTGCCAGAAAGAGATCTTTTGCAATATTGCTTGCATACACTGAAAACATTCTAGCCAATGCGGAGAGCTAATTCTGTCTAAAAGTGAAATGATTTGCATCCCATTGGGTGGACATAACAAGTTGGATTTCTATTTCCTTTCTATAGAATTTCTTAGATGAACATTATGACATCCCCAAAATAAGCATGGCCAATAATGTGATCCATAATAATGAAGGATATGGTGTGGTCCTGGTAAAACCAACTGTTTCTTCTGATGTAAAGGATGCTTCAGTAGAAGGAACAACAGGTATTTTTGTCTGACTTCATAGAAGTAAATAAAAAAAAAAAAAAAAAGAAACACAAACGCTTAAGCCTAGTATACACAAGTTTTTTTGAATTCCATAACTAGGAAGTGAGTCTTTCAAAAACTTCTCACAATGTCTGTTTTGATTTAGTTGGAATATATCTCTGTAACTATCAGAACAATGGAATTTCCTGAATTAGACTTCTTGCAGGTAAATACTGTGTATATCTGTGCTCCGTGCTGTGTGTACACTTAGATATATCTATTTTTTTTAAAGTCCTTAAGCATCTAATCTATACTTCCCACTAAGCAAAGCCTGTATAACTACCTCAATCTTACAGAAACAAGAGTTGATCAGCAAGAAAGCAGATGTGACTTCTTTTATAGCTCTTCTGGTTCATAGTTCTCTGCTCCATCTTTCCTTTCAGCACTAGAGCTGAGATGTGCTGGTTAGCACAGTCTTGCAGCACAGAAGTTGTTTTCTGTAGTAAATAAAATGTGACAATTGTATTCCTCTTCATATGTCTTATTTGAAGAACTGCCAGTTGCAAGTATGGTATGTAAACACAGTCTAATATCACTGTTACTTGGTAGCTTGAAGTCCTTTTGAGAGGAAACCTTTTCATATGCTGTATTTGAAATGTATGGTTGTCACTAAACAACTACCCAAATGTGTGGGGTATGCAAATGTTACAATTGAAGATTTCATTCTGGTAGTTTTAACTGATTTGGCTATTTTGCATGCTTGGCATTGATGTTCTCCTTGTTCCCTGATCTAGGGGATGCACAGTCTACCCAGTCAAGTGATGAGAGAGCACATGTAGAGGGCTTCAGACAAGAACAACTACCTGAGTGTGTAGCTGATGAATTGGAGTTTTATAAGCAAGCTGAGATTTCTGAAGGCAATCATGAAATTGTAAGTGAACTTGGTGCTGCTTCTGCAAAGAAGAGTCAGATGCACAGGAAAAGGCTGAGTGAACTGGGAATCACAGAAGCTGATGACAACTTAATGTCACAGGAGATGTTTGTTTCTATTGTGGGCAATCAGTTCAAATGGAATGGCAAAGGAAGTTTTGGTACTTTTCTCTTCTGACAGTCCTGATTCCTAGTGGCATTGTAATAAGATTTGCACAAGCTGTTTTTTTCACTGCTACTTTCTGAGGAGGTAACTTCCACCAGCTTTCCATAATGTTAGTAAAATATTTATTAATTATATATATACACGCACATATATACAGCATGTGAAAACTACTTTCTTTGTGCAAGCATGGGCAATGCTGGTAGAAAAGAGAACTCTGCTAATCTATGGACTTGCTCTTTGCTAGCTGTCATTTTTTGTTGTTTTTTTTCTTCTTTTTGGTATATTTATTTGACTCCTTTGGTTCTTTTTTAACATATAAATAAATCTTTCTACAAACAAAAAGTTTGTCATGGAAGAATGGAAAACAGCTGCTCAGCAATTGGTGGTACATCTTCCTCCATAGTTTTTTTTAAAGTGCTGTTAGCCTCTACATCCCTCCTATAAGAGAATGATAGACTTAGTTTTGTGTGCCAAACAGAAGCTGGTGAACTGTTGCATGAAATGTAGTAGTTGGCTGCCATGCTTTGCTTTAAGAATTTTTTAGAGAAATTGGCATCTGGAAGGGTAGCATCGTTCAGTCTTCTTTGGAAATAAGCTGGCACACAGCAGCAGCTGCCACTGCCTGTGTACCTTTGACATAAGGAGGGATGGTGTCTAACTAAAACTCTGAATAAGAAATAAAAACAGATGTTTCTATGGTTAGTGTTATTCTACTATGTCTTTCAGCACATTATTCTAAAATGTTTGAAACTCCTATGCCACATATAGCAGCAGATCTCTTGGAAATAAAAGGAAAACTGAAAAGGAAAAAAACCAAGAGCTTTGCATGAGATCTCATCAGCACACAGCTATGGAGCATTTGGTTAAAAAAAAAAAAAAAAAGCATTTCAGTGACTCACCATTCATTACAAATTAACTGGAGATGAAATTTGGCTGAACTGCCTGCCCCAGGATTCTGCCTTTTCAGTGCTTCTCATTCCTTATAAATATAAATCCAAATACCTTATTTAAGCTTATATTGCCTTCGGGAGTTGTATTTCCATACATCGGTTCAAAACCAGTTCTACATGTTTAAAAAAAAAATAAAAAATCCCAAGTGATTCAAGGGGGTGCTGTAAAACACAGGATGGTGTTGAGAAGAAGGAAGGTGCCAGCAAGAGAATTTCGGAATAACTTCTGCAAGTAACTTAGCAAGTATATACCTTCCCAACACTGTAGAGTGTTGCTTAAGGTGGAGATGAGTTGTCTACTCCAGGTTTTTCACTCCACCCACTTCTGAAACTTCAGTGGGAATCAAAATTGTCTTGAGTCTATGACTTGTTTTAGTGTGAGCAATAGGTAGAAAGGAAAAAAGTGTAACTTAAAAGCATTTTTTTCCTGCTTTTTTTTTTTTTTTTTTTTTTTTTTTTTTTTTTTTTTTAACATGACCTGCAGCATTAATTGCAGCTTTTCTATCCCCCTGCTGTTTTTGTTCTGCTCAGTGCACTTGACTTCAGGACTGTGCTTTTGAGTTTTAATGAGCCTGAATGCCATTACAACATCTTAACATGCACAAGACAATAAATGTTTGCAGTTTAGTGGCTGTAACAAAATACTTAACTCAAGTGAAATCCCACTACTTGTACTGGCAGTGGTGATCTTACGGGATTTGTCATGTCATGTGCAATGTTCAGTGCTTTGATGTTATACTTTTAATTCCTGAGTGCAATCCTAATTAAGGGTCTAGAGCTAAAAACTGATTTTGTGGTTTTGTAGCGAGCTGCCTTTGTGATATGTAGGTAGCATTTCTTTCTCTTGTAATTAATTTTAAAGCTGGCTTCTGTTGACAACTTTTGAGTTCCCTTTTTATGTTCAGCTTAAAGTTTATGAAGGCAGAAATTAAAATATTCTTTTTCAATATCACCATTTTTTTTTGGTCTGTTCCTGTGCCATGTGCCAGTGGTATGCTGCTGTATGGGTTGTCAGCAGGTGAGGAAGCAACATATGAAAAATAAGATTTTATGCAGGAATTCTGTTATAAAATTGTGGCTTAATTCTTGATGACATTAGAGCTTTGAAGGACCTAACTTCCAATTGAGCCATGCCCTTTTTGTGGAGTTTGGCCTTACCACTGTTTTCTACTTCAGCACGTGCATCTTCAGTCCAGGCTGTTGTTACCGCAAGCTAATCCTAACCAGTAATTTCATCTGTCTTTAGCACATCATGTGCTTATTTTCTCAAGTTTGCTCTTTCTTTATTCGCTTCTTTTGTGCTTCTTTCAAGGCTGTGCTGTCACTTTCTTGCCAGCTTTCAGTTGTAGATAAAATAGTGAATTGAATATGTCGCAGAAGCAGTTAGGGCATCGATCTGTCTGCAGTAAGGGGTATGGCCATAGGCTGCCACACATTCAGATGGTACTGGGGAACAGGGAGGATGATTTCACAGATTCGTGCTTCTCTTTTAGTGTTTTGTTTTTTTTCTTTTTCCTCTCAGAAAGGAAAAGAAAGCGACAAAACCTCTTTTGGAAGGTGATGTTTAATTCTGTTTCACAAATATTTTTGCTCTACCTGTCCTCTGAGCTGCCTGACTAACTCAGACAGTATTTTTCATGTTTCACAATAAGAAAATAAAATCAGTTCAGCATGTCCTGTGATATTTCCTGTCCTGTTTTTCTCTGGCCCTGTTTAGCACTGCTGTGCCTTCCTGCTTCGCAAGGTCCTTGGGCAACAGCCAGTTCTGCACTCTGCTCTCCCCTCTTTCAAATACAGGGTTTTCTTGTAAAGCACTCCTGCGGGCTGGAATTGATGCTGTCTCTCTAAAGTTCCCCTCTGAAGCACTATTCTGTTCTTCTCTAAGGCATTATAATGCAGCACAAAAGGCAAAAAGAATTTTATTTTTCTTACGTGAGTTGAAATCAACTAACGCTGCTCTGCTGTACAACCAGAAGATATCTGCAGGCCTCAGAGTGCTCCTGAGTGAAACTACAGCTTGTGCAATGTGGGCCAGGAAACAAAACTGAATTTATTGTATCCGCTTGTAATAAGCTGAATGGTTTTTAAGCATGCCCATGTGAAAGTGTTGAAAGAAATTTAATCTTGAAGTTACTTGTGACCCTTGGCTTTTTTTCCTTCATCGAGTTTTTAGTTTTCTAAGCAATATAAATGCATCAAGTTAGAGTTGTATATTAACTGTATATAAAATAAAAAAAAACAGGGCAAGGATCTAAGCTGTCATTCACCACCAGGAACAGAAGAGTGTGTGTGTGTGCATTTGTGTAGAAGTAACCAGTAAGTTCTGAAAAAGAGAGAGTCTGTGTGATACATCTTCTATTTTCCCCCAGGCAGGGAGCTGTAGGAATGCATCCAAAGGTGATTACTGCTGCTCTGCTGAGTTACTAACTATGTGAGCTAACTGAACACCGCAGATTCTTTTAAATTTAAGAGAAAGCTGTTACTTTAGGGTTTTTTGTTTGTTTTTGTTTTTTGGTATACTTTAGCTGGCAGACTAAATCCTTAATTCTTCATTTTGAATCATATGTTCACTCTGAATGCTTCATGCTGTGTCATTAAAAAAAAAAAAAAGCATTTTGTTTGTGTGGTATTTGTTATGGTAAGAATCTAATAATCTTCAACTCCTTTTTTTTTTTTTTTTTTTTTTTTTTTTAAAAAAAAAAAAAAAATAAAAAAAAGTGCAAAAAAATGTATCCAGAATCCAGTGGGATTTAGTGGCAGTTGGTTCTACAAGGCAGGTAGTGTATGATGTTGACAGTACGTCTGAGTACATGATAATAGGCACCAAAAGCAAGGCAGAAATGCAGAAAAAGAGGAAGGTATTGCAAGCCCTGATCTTGGATTACAAAGCAGCCTAGGAGAGCGTGCTATCCTTTCCTTGCCTCTGAGTGTTGATATTTGACTCTGGGGGTGGACAGAACTCCTGATAAGTGTTCTCTTTATTTTAAGTACATTCTTTTTAGGCTTGTTTGATATATTGGGATGAAACGCGGAAAACCTTGGCCTTAAAATGGAAGGGTAGGAATTATTGTATTTTTTTTCCACTTCTTATTGCTTTTCTTTTGATCTTTAAAGTATTTCGTGCTGCCTGATCAAGGAGAAACTTGCTGCACGACACATGATTACATCAAGTATGTACCATTCCAATGCATCTTACACTCCATTTCTGTTCTTAGGGTGATTTTTGTGGACAACCGTGTTTTTGTTTTTGGTGTTGTATCCTGTAGCACCACACTGCTTTTCAACTGTGAAGCTCTGCCTTGTCTTTGGATATGAAACAAGCCTGTAACTGGCTTGCAGTGGGTGGTAGGTTCTTGATGATTTTAATTAAAATTATTAATTTCAGAAAGCAGCTGAAATAACCAGACTTAGGTTGTTATACCTGGGTATCTGTTTATACATGGGCACTCCATTATAGTAGTTCCTATACTGGCTCTTTATCTTATACTAGGCTTACTGTAGCTGTTTGCTGAACAGTGAAATGCTGAAGCAAATGATTCTTCCAATGTTTAAATTGCTATTTCTTCCCAGTCAATAAAGAATTTGCTCAAAAGTGTGAACGTGAATTTTTGTTTTTACCATTCAGTACATGAAGTGTTTTTATTCCTACTGACAAAGCAATTTCAGCACTTTGATGAATGGTAAATGCTATTGTTTGAGAGTGTTACTTTCCTGTTTTCAAGTTTGAACATCCTATACATCCTATGTATCTCTCTTCCTTTGCTGAGCGTAATTTGAATAACTGATAATTATTTTGGTAGTGCTACATAGAGTTTTCCTGTATTGCTATTATAGTGGGAAATCTTGTCTTAAACGACTTTAATGTTACGGGGTTGTTATAGGGAAGGTGTGGAGCAAGTTATCTTTCACTTTGATAAATGTATGCTATAGTAATAAAATGTTGTGATAGGAATCTCACTGAGACTGATAATCTGTAGAAAGGACCTTTATTATGATGAAATACATCATTTCTCTTCCCAGCCTAATGTCAAGAATAGCTAATGAAGAAAACATTATTGGAACGTGCTTTATATTATGTTTCATGGAATGTTAGGATTCTTAGAATGTTACGGGTTGGATAGCCAGGTTAAGTTAGGCTGTGTATTACAGTTAGGAAACATACTCTCTTAGTTTTGCAATTGTAATAATGCTATTATGACAGAACTTTGCATAGTGTTGCTAATTCTACTTTTCTGTTTGTATCTGCTCTTAGTCTTTATCAATACTATTTCTTTCCCACCTATTATGCATTTTAAAAACACTTTAAAAAAAAAAAAAAAAGTAATTTTAACATTATTGTAGCTTAAATTTATTTTTCCAAAGTAGGTCAGATCAATTTCTAGACCATCATTTCAAAGTACATAAAGCAGGGCACTGGAAACATCCCCATAGAAGGTAAGGAGGAAGAAGAGGGGTAGGGTACTGGCAGAAGAATATGCTTTTCAGTATCCTTTGTTTTGTTACAGTGAGAGATGGGGCAGTTGTAATCAAGAGACAGGCACTGTCAGCTGTTGCATACTGTAAGGTAGGATGGCTTGTACAAATGACCCTGTGCTACTTAGCATTGCTTTAACTTACCACTATCAAGAGTGTGCAGCAAAGTCTTGTCTCAGTCGTGCGCTGCTGGAAATGAGTTCCCTGCAGCACAAAATGCTGCCGTGGAGACAGCGCTGGCAGCACTTGCAGGGAAACTGCCTCAGAACAGCAACCCAGGAACCCCAGCTGTCAGGCAGTCAGGACCCACCACAGCTCTACTGCGAATGCTGTACCAGGTACAAAGTGTTTTCCATCTTAAAGCAACAAACTTGTCACAACACATTAGTTCTAAAATATTTACCATAATGATTTTGTCAAGTATTTTTGTTAGTTTATTTTTAGGAAATGAAAGTTCCGTGAAAAACTTTGATTTTTGGTCTCCTGTTCTAGTAGATAAAAATCCATTGGAAACACACAGAATAGATTTCTCCTTTCAAATGAAACATGGGAAAACAGGTTTTAGCACAATTTCCTTAGCACCTCACTGAAGAGATAGGCAATTCAGGCTGGAGTAATAAACAAATAAGGAAAAATCTAATCAGCTGAAAGCAGACTGCTTTGCATCTCTCAGTGTCGGCATAAATGATGCATGCTATTTTGTTTCTCAGTGAAAGTTGGGCTTAGGAGGTGAACAACTCCGGTTTCAAGTAGGGATCTGTGAAGAGTTCATGTTCTTGCTAAGCAGAGCAGCAAGACAGCCTTGGGACCTGTGCACAGGTATGATAGCTTTAAAAGAGATACAAGTAATGAAATGGCACAACATTCAGTGGGGTGTTTACCTGGAAGGTGTGTCACTACGTAGTTG